TGGGGCATTTTGGTTACTGTTTCTTATGTTATCTGATTTATAACCCCCCTTAATGTCCTTAGACCGGCAAGAGCTGTTGGAGCTGCCGCTAGACTCTGACAGTGAGGGGTCTTATGAGTTGGCCTTGGAGGAGGTGGAGGACCCTGGACAGGGTGTCGACTCCGAGCAGGGCGAGGAGAGACTGGTTGGCCATCAAGTGGCGGCAGAGCATTTGGATGGAAGGGAATGTTCAGGAAAGCATTTGGGAGTTGTATCAGGATGCATGCAGGCGCAGGGCTACTCGGCGTAAAGAACAACGGAGTAACTACAGGAGGTGATTGCGAACAGCTGATGCTGATCAAGATCCCCTCCTGCTGATAAAAGAGACTGCTGATGCCACACCCTGGTGACAGAAGTCAACGTTCTCGCTTGCATTCACAAATCGAGAGAAGCCAACTTGGATAAGTGGCTTGATAAGAGAAGTCTGTTTGGCAGTGCTGTGTGAGTTATAGGACTTTTGCCAGAGCGATTATCTTTGGTTTCTTTTGGGCTCGCAGCCAGCAAGAGCCGGGACTGATTAAAACGTTCTTTTGTACGTCTGTTTGGCTTTCGTTCCTGAATGGAGAAGGGGGGGTCAGAACAGCTAAGAATCCAAGTGTGTGCAGTGGGTGGGACTCTTGTGGTCCTGCCAAAATCCAGCTGAGCTCTAGAATGTTCTAACAATGTCAGCACACAGTCTGGAATAACGATGTGCGTGATTCATAGATGCCACTAGAACTACAGTTACAGATGAGCAAGTGTTGTTTTCCATTTCTAGTTCTATGTAATGAACAGACGAGACATCGCCGTGGTTGGTATATTACTGTGCAACCTAATCTCTGTAATGTCAACTCACTCCAACGAAAGTGCAATGAAAAAAAAACTAAAGAAACTAAGCCCCAATTGTTTAAGACATACGGAATAACATCTTGACTCAGAAGATCTTACGAAGACTGACATGTCTTCTAGGCATAAATAAAATTTACCGTAAGTGCTTAGAGTTTGTAGATTGAGATGGGAATAAATCCAATAAATAAACAACCCTTAGTAATAGCCCTGACAGCGCTTATATTATTTTTGAAGTGTACTTGTCACTCAAACACTTGAGAGGATTTTTAGCTGTCAAAGATGAACCACTTTTTATGTCTGCTAACCAAGTTCCTTTGGCATAAGGAATACGCCGATGGGTTCATTATTTTTAAAATGATGGCAGTGATCTTGAAAACAAGTTTTTATGGTCATATTTGAGATGACATTCATTTGTGTTTTCTCTGTCACCCCTACACATAATTAATCTTGCACAGATGCCTGTTTTCACAGCATTGACAAGTAAAACATTGAGTTATGGCCAGCTTATTAATCCTTTTAAGGACAACACAAAAATGGAAGAAAGTTAATAGTGTGCCATTTATATCAATACGTGTGACACCGGAAAGGAGTATTAGTCTGTCATCTCACTCCTATAATGCTCAGTTAATTGGTTTTATCCTTTTTAAAATAGCAGAGGAAATCCTAAATAGGCTTTATGACTACCATCTGCTGACAGTAAACTAATTATGGTTGTTGTTCTAAATCTCGTTGTTCTAAAACAAAAACAAATTCTCAAGATCCATCAAACTGTGTCACATTTCTTCCTATCTTGGAAACACCCAGTCAGTGGAAAATCTGTGATACATCCTCACAAAATTATACATTAGAAAATATTCCTCCACTGTATAGTTAGGATTCTTTGATATACACAGTCAGTTGCTTGAGGTGCAGATCATGGAGTACAGAGAACTTTCCTGTAGACCAGTGGTTCTCAATCTTCCCAAAGCCGCGACCCTTTAATACAGTTCCTCATGTTGTGGTGACCCCCAACCATAAAATTGGTGTTTCAG